CTATTTATAGGTAGGATGGCCCAGGAAAAATATTGAGAATATATTTTAAAAGTTCCATTTTATTTATTTAAAATACAAAATTTTTAAAATAAAAATATTTTTCGTCATTTTAAAAACATATTTTTAAGGCTTAATGTCTCCAGCTAAAGCATCTTGTCAGACTGCATAATGTCATAACATTGAGATCCATCTTAAACCCAAGTTGCCTGGATTCAAGCCTTGTTTTCTACTTACACTTGTTAAACAAGGCCCTTAAAGTTTTGGATTATAGCATCATTATCTGAAAAATTGTAGTGAACAATTTCTACCTACTTCAGAGTGTTGGTAGATTTAACAGAGAAAGTGGAGGGGAAAATACTCTTTAGCTTTAAAGTAATATCATTTAGTATCAGAAGTCATGTTTAGACATGTGGTCCTAGAAAAGATGGTGTAAACTTACTTTTCCGTGTTTCTCCCATTTAAATATAATGGGGATAATTCAATACACAACCAAAAAGACTGGAAAGATGGAAAGAAGAAAGTAGATTGGCTACGGACCTCATTATTTGAAGAATGATAGCATATGAGTTCCAAGAGTTTTCTTTTTATCTCTTATACTAGAGGCCTAGTGCACAAAATTCATGTGTGGGGGGGGGGGGGGGGTGGGTGGGGGTGGTGGTGGTGGTGGTGGTGGTGGTGGTGGTGGTGGTGGTGGTGTTGTCTTTCCCCTAGCCTGACCTTCCCCAATCTGGGACCCCTCAGGGGATGTCCAACTGCCGGTTTAGGCCCCGATCCTTGGCCCAAACCGGCAGTCGGACATCCCTCTCACAATCCGGGACTGCTGGTTCCCAGCCACTTGCCTGCCTGCCTGCCTGCCTGATTGCTCCTAACCACTTCTGTCTGACAGCCTGATCACCCCTTAACCACTCCCCTGTCAGCTTGATCAACGCCTAACTGCTCCCCTACCCACCTGGTCGCCCCCAACTGCCCTCCCCTGCAGGCCCAGTCACCCCCAACTGCCCTCCCTTCCCTGCAAGCCTGGTCCCCCCAACTGCCCTCCCTTGCTGGCCTGGTTGCCCCTAACTGTCCTCCCTCCACTGCAGGCCTGGTCTCCCCCAACTGCCCTCCCCTGCGGGCCTGATTGACCACAACTGCCCTCCCCTGCCAGCCATCTTGTGCCCACATTGGGGTGGCCATCTTGTGTGAAGGCATGACTGTCAATTTTCATATTACCTACTTATTATATAGGATATCTCAGACTGGGTTCCAGAGAGGCCTTCTGCTTGGAACACCAATGGGCATATACAAACAAAGAAGCAAGAAAACAAATGACAAAGCCTACTCTTTCTGGGCACAGGACCAGGACAAAGGGAACCTGTAAGGACATGGGGCTACCTATCCCCCCAACCCATACCTAGCCACAGTGGTGGGGCCCTTTCACCTACAGTGGTGACATCAGTAGAATTCAGAAACGTCAACAAATCTTCCATCAGGAGTGGTGGCCTGATAAACCTGGGGTGGTGGCATCAATGGATCCCAAGCAGGCGACCCATCTCCTGCCCTACACCTGCCAGCATCAGGTGGGCAGAGAACATAGGCAAGGGAAATTATTTTCTATCCCATAAATCCAGACTCCACATTCCTACTAGTGGTGGGACTAAGAAAAGAACTCTTCACACTTTGCAGGTGGCACCAGTAGGGATTTATCAGGAATTTCCAAGTAAGAAGAAATAAACTGACCAAAATAGCACTGGAAGGGGTCTGAAAACTGTATTGCATTTGGAAACAGCCTACAAAATAGGCCAGAATCTACATACCAAACCTAAACATGGACACTGCCCACAAAAAGAAAAGATTTTATTTTAAATGTCCATTTCAAAAAGTCCAAAAGAAGAGAAGAGATAGTTGCATTTAAACAAATTAGACTTGAAGACAAAAACTTTAACACGTGACAAAGGTCATTACATAATTTCAAAGGGGTAATTAATCAAGAGAATGTGACAAACGTCAATATATATGCACCCAACATCAAAGAACATAAATATATTAAGCAAATACTCATAGATATGAAGGAAGAAAAAGATAATAATACAATAATAGTAGGGGATTTTAATACCCTACATCAACAATAGGTCACCCAGACAGAATATCAATAAGAAAATATTGGACTTGAGCTATACTTTAGAACGAATGAACTTAGATACCTACAGTACATTCAATCCTTTGAAGCAGAATACACATTCTTCTCAAGTGCACATGGACCATTCTCCTGGGTAGATGGTATGTTACGTCACAACAATAAGTCTTAGACAATGTAAAAATATTGAAATCATGTCCCATATCTTTGCTGACTACAATGAATAAAACTAGAAATCAGTAAGAGGAGGAAAACTAGAAAATTCACAAATATGTGGAAAGTAACACAATTCTGAAAAACCAATGGGTCAAAGAAGAAATCAAAAGGTAAATGAAAAAATATCGTAAAAGAATTGAAAGTAGAAACATGACCAAATCCAGCCTGCCATTATTTTTTGTGTGGTCCACAAGTTAATAATAGTATAACATTTTTAAATGGTTGGGAAAAAAAATTTTGTGATGTGAAAGTACATGAAACTCAAATTTTTGTGTCCATACACAAAGTTTTATCAGAATACATCCAGGCCCTTTATTTATAAATTGACTTTGACTTTGGCCCCTTTTGCACAACAGTGAATAGTTGCAAAGAGACTGGATGACCTGTAAGCTTAATATATTTACTATCTGACTCATTACAGAAAATGTCTGCCAACCTGCAACAGACCTATACTTAAACCCTGTGGGCAAATACTCCAAGAACAGGGGCAAATCAGAGATAGATTGGGTCTTAAGAGAACTCAGCCCAATCTCATGTTGGCTCAGTTCCATATTGAATTGAGATATGCTTAGCCTTCCACGCCATTGCCCTAGCAGAATAAGGATGGATAAATCTTTGCTGGAGAAAGATATCATCTTGAGCCTCTACAAAATTTTAATATATATTTTACACACATTCCATCATTCAGGAAAATATTCTACTAACTTTGCTTGATCTGAACTGAACTGTGATACTTCTAAAGAAGCCTGTCTTAACTAGCAGGCTCAACATCAATCTATTTATATCCAACATTTTGAGCAAGAGTTTAAATCTATGTTATTTAAAGAAAAGAAAAATAAACAGAAGTAACAGTGTTACCTAAAAGCACTTCTCTTGGCAAGAAAACTTAAAATATATATTTGGAACAATAGCATTGTCATGAACTAGATGTTAGTTTCTATTGTAAAACATTCCAATAATAAAAGAAATAAAATCTAGGAATTATTTACTTTGTAGAAAATGAAAAAAAGAATAGCAATTGACCTGTTATATATCATTCTGAGCTAAAAGACTGTGTTCTGAAACTCGTTTCTCAATGACATGTGATTCACAGACACTGGCATCATATTTTAGGCATCTACCATCCTGAGAAGACAGACAAGTGCAAATGTGTGAAAAACTGATAACACTGAAATATTATAATTATGCAATATGTTATGCCTACATCTCTCCCAGGATTTTAAAATTTGACTTTAATAGGCTTTTACAATGAAAAGAGCAACTCAAAGGAACAAGACAACTGAGAAGTTCAATATGTCACCGAACTGTAAAATCATTAAATTTATTTTAATTAGTATATACTAAGGTTTTACATCTGCGGCACAAGTAAATTGTAACTCAGAGATATAATAGATCAGGTCATTTTCATTTATAACCAATCACAATTTGAAACACGTATCTTTATATTGTCAATGAGATGTAACCTAATTGTGCTCAGAAGTCCAGGCCACATAATAACTTTATGGAATTTAAGCACATATAGTTGTACCATTATATAGAAGGCAAATAGATATAGCTATGAACACACAATTATATACATAGATAGTATTTAAAAACTGGATACTTATGCATTTAAATATGTACATATAAATTGTATACTCCCATTTTTTTTTAAATTTAACTCAGAATAACTAGCCTGTGAACAGTTCCCTTATCACAAAGGAATAAATAATATTTTCTAGGTACTATTTGAGGAAGCTGGAATTGCTACTAAAACAAAAGGATTTTTTGAATTAAAGACTTTTTTTAAAAGTTGACTTAAAAATTTTTTTAAAACATTTAAATACCTCTCAACACTTTTTTTCACTTTTAATAATTTGTCAATGATAGATGCCTCTGAATAAGGCTCTAATGATTTGACCAGATAAAGGCAAATATAAATGATAAGGAGAGTATGCTATTTATCATTTTAGATAAGATATAAATACTTTTTTAACATACATTGAATATTTTAAAAATTATTAGTATCTTCAGCAACAGATTTCATCTGTGTAATTTCCTAATTTGGAAACAAGGTTTACATTCCTCTCATACTCAAAATTGCTTTAAAAAAATTCTTCACATGCACGAAAATAGTCCATTTTTAAGCAACTTCATGGGAATTGGAAAAGACTAAGGACAACCCAGCACATTCATGAAATGAATGATTTTTTTTTTCAATGTCTGATTAAAGGAAAGCGGCCATATGTATAGATCTTTATATCAGCGATTCCTTAAATACTAGCAGAACACTGTGTCTCAACCCATAAACATCAGATATTATTTATAGTTTCACAATACTGTTTCCCTACATATCATATTTAATTCCAATGAAAAGATCAGAGCCCTCAGAGAGACAAATTGCAAACAAAACGTCCTCAGTAGGTGGTGGAAAGTCAAGCCAGGAGTCAAGCAACTCACAGAGAGGACCGAGATGTGAGATCCAGCACAGCCTCCTCAGAGGGAAAAAGGAAACCACATGGCAAGGCTGAAATGCCGACTTCATTCTCTCTCCACTCTGAGCATTTAACATCACATCTTTAAAACTGTTTCAACTACATTACTGCTTCTTTAGGCGAGCCCCTCTCTTAAGAAACACAAGCATTCTCCAAGTGCGAGGCGGAAACATCATAAAAACTTAACAACCTACCATTTTCTTTGCACTCTTCTGGAGGTTTAGCCTTTTTCGCAAGTCGTGGATCCAGCCATGATGTTGTCTTTGTGTTATGGCTGAAAGGAAAAGAGATCGCTCTGAACAGACACATACTGAAAGGAATCAAGTTTATTCCCTAAGAAAAAAAAAGGGGGGGGGGGGGAGTTAGGCGAACAAAATTGCAATCGATACACTTAATTTGCTTACTGGTTCTAAGCAGCCCTGAAGGAGGTGTAAGAGTAATTGTGCAAGGCAGCTGTAAATTTGGCAACCTCAGCTCCCTGTCCTCAAAGCAGCTATTTTTATTAAAATCAACTAGAATGTTGCCAAGTTCACCTCATTGAAAATGCAGAACTCATCCAGAGCAAAAGGAATTTATTACAAATACGGGATTCTCCAGTTGGAGGAGCACAGTTCACAGACTCCGGTACTGTTTCCTGAGTTTTGCGAAAGAATTATTTCCATCTTAAACCTGCTCTTTTCATAAGGAGTTGTTTTGTTCCTCTTTAACTATAGAGCTGGCAGAGTCGGTACAAAAGTGATGCAAATTATACCATGTTCTTAGGATTCCTGCATTTTCTCAACAAGTGATTATTAATAGCAATTTCATTAACCCATATTTAGCTTCTGTTCCATGTAAATACTTCCCATCCAGCTAGGGGAATAGGGGATAAACATATCTATAATCTAATACTTCTGGAATGGGAGTTCTGAGATTTAATAAGAATTTTAATGACATTTTTGTTTTGAAAAATGTTTTTTAGAATATCTCTTGCCAGACATTTAAAAAGCAAAGAAAGTTATTCCGAGAGCAGCAGTTTTTCTCAAAGAGGTCCTGGACTCACCTGGTGTTAGAATCACCTGGTGGACTTATTAGCACTGCATATTCTGGGTTGTTATAGAACTACCAAATCAGAATCTTTGGGGATGAGTCCGTAAAATCTCCATTATTGGCAAGGTGATTCTTATGCATATTACAACTTCAGTACTGCTCAGTGGCTCATAATTGCTTGTTGGAGCTAAAAATCTTTACTGTATATAACTGTCTCAAACGATCTCATCTACCAATGGACAAATTGTCAAGGATGTGACATTTGTGAGGGCTTCAAAAAGAGAATGAGCAAAGTCACAGGTATGGGAAAGTGTCAGGTTTATACAGGGAAGCGTCAGAAGGCCAGTGAGTGAAGCATGAAAAGGAAGAGTGGAAAATAGGCTGGAAACATAAATTAGAGCCAGGTACTAGGGATAATTGAACACAGTTCTATGAAAGTCTAAATGATAATGATGATATCAATTTCATTTTGGCCCTCATTTGTGGTCATGTCAACATCATCCAGTCTTTTCCTCTGAACGAAAGGCTTGATGCCCATGAATGGAGGTTATGACTTTCCAGAGTATGAGGAGTGTAGAACTGGGTTCAGTGTTTGATGCTCCCATTTTGCCAAAAAAAAAAGTCAATAAAAAATGCTCTTTATAGACATGCCTGAGTTCAAAGTGTGCGTGCGTGCGTGCGTGCGTGCGTGTGTGTGTGTGTGTGTGTGTGTGTGTGTTGATGCCTTTGTTTTTCTGTGCTAGGAGAAATGTTGGAAGCTTGGCAAGCAAAAGAAATTTCCCTTCTCTTTACTCACACCTTCTTCCAAATCCTTCCTCCATTTCAGAGAAATGTCATTTCTAGGTTTCTAAGACATGTTCACAAAAGCAAGCACATCTGTGAATAAGTATTAAGGGACCATTACCAAGTCACTGCAGGGAGTCAAATTACCATTTCTATATCACACCACCTTGGTTCTCACAGACTGGCTCATGTAGAAGAGAACTGTGAATTTCCTACCTTTCCTGAATTTATATAAAGCATTTCATTACAGGATAAATTTTTAGGTTGAACTAGCATTAATGGTATGTCACTTTAATACATTTTGACAGATTGAGTCTCTTAGAGTTAACAGCATTTTTAGCTGATCCTCTGAAGTGATTCTGAGAGAAACGTGGGTAGTGGTTACCTCCAGTAATTGTCTTAAACTTCACATGAAGACACGGCACAGTATTTTTCAATAGTGGCTCTTACCAACCTTGCAATTTACATGCTTCTTCAATGTGTCTTACTAAGGGGACATTTTTAATGCTTTTGGGAGACAACAGACCTAGTGGCTTTCCCATTTCCTTTAAATAATATATTTTTAATGACATAAATTCCATTTGAAAATAGGGTTAAACATTGGGCAGAAAGCTGTGTACAAAATGAGACCATTGAGCAATTTTTCACAATCTGCAAACTACCTTTATTTAGATTTGAGGATGATTTTTCTTTCACTTTTTATTGCTAGAATAGAGTCAGAAGTAGGACAACAGGTGTTTTTTTGTTTGTTTGTTTGTGGTTGTTTTTTATCTACCAAAGTTGTGTGGAGCACAAATGACAGGAAGGCATGATACTAATGTTATAAAAACTTATATTTCAATACTAGTTTCTTTAACAGACATACATGCACATATCTTTGCTGTATTTTCAAAAAAAAAAAAACACCCTTTCTTTTTTCTAGCTGGGGAATGGAACAAATCTATTCTAGAAATTTTAAATCATAATAATATACTACTCTATTTTTATAGATAAAGTTAATGTGATGATTATGAAGAGTGGGAGATCAAGTGGACTAAAGTTGGTAGCTATTCAAGTTCAATCAATGTCAATTAAAAAATCCGGGTGAAAACCTTTCAAATGGTTTACCCAAAATTCTTCTGTGATGTTAAAGTGTAGGTTGAGTCTATCTGGAGGACTGGAACAAACAAGATGTGAAATTTCGTTCAACTCTGAAATTCTAGTTTAAATTCATATCAGAATGTCCCTGCAGACATGTGATAAGCTGACTTGTAATAAATCAGAAATTTGTGTATATTTTATAAGTTTAACCTTTCCAAACAGTCAAGAGAAGCAGGTTCAATTAGGACATCTTCTTTTCTGAGGAAACATCCTTGTCACATAGAAAATGCTTCACTTCCCACAAGGAAAGCAGCTGACATTGCGGCTCACCATTGCGATGTTATTCTCACTGTCTCATGAATGTCCTGATGGCTCACGTTGTCAGGGACTGCACTGGGACTGCAGGCAGCACCTTACTGTGATTGTGAGTATAGATTTTTAACTTCATTTTACAGATAGAGAAACCAAGGCTGAAAGAAGCTAGGCAACTTGCCCAAGGGTACACAGCTAGTGTGTGAACAGAAAGAGCTAGGGAAGGGAACAAAGCTCAACCACCATGAAACTGCCCTTTTCAGATGTTGACTTTAAGCTGTTTATTAAGAAACAAGACTCAGAACCTTTGACCCTGCCCCCTTTCCTGCCCAAAAAATTCAGACAGAGAAACCTGCTTCAGGAAAGAGAGACTTAGGATGTCTCCTTAGCCTCATTTGAAGTAAGTATGGTAAACAAGAAAGGTGCCTGGTAGCTAGATACCAACTGTGGCCATTTTTTCAGAGTTGCCTGCTTAAAATAACTTGCCTCTTTCTCACCCACTCTCACTTCTGAAGTATAATATTCCCTCCCCCCTTTTTTATTTGTCCAAAATGTCTCAGATACCCAATGTTGCCTTACTGTCTTTAATATTGTCATGCCTATGTGAATTCCCCATGCATGTGTGTTAAAACTTGGATTTTCCTCCTACTAATCTGTTTCTGTTACTTTATAAGCCCAGCCAGAAGAACTTGGAAGGTGGGGAAGGTATTCATATTTGCTTAGCCCTCACATTAGCAGTAAGCCCAGATATATGTGATTCCCAAGTCCAAAGTTTTTTATGATCTGAAATGAGAGGCATAATAAACCTAACATTTTGCTTTTTATACCGAGGTGCTTTATTCCACAACCTCAAAGGGTAATCAGTTCCTCTGCCAGTGGTTTAGAAACACAGACCTTTATGTCCTATTTGAGGATAGTAATCACTAAAAGGAGTTCCTGTGTGTTAAATGGCCTGTATTTAGTAGGTATTATATTAAATCGCATATGCCTAGAGATGAGAGAGAAAACACTGTGACTGAGAAACATTTTTATCCTTATGAATTCTCTACTCAAATCAAATATTCTTCATTCAAATCTGAATATTTCTCCAGAATAAAGTCTGAAAAATCCTGATTTATATAATCTATATATATATAAATATTAGTCTTAGAAGCTATACTAAATAATTAGGTTAAAATAATTCTATCAGCCCTAGCCGGCTTGGCTCAGTGGATTGAGCGTTGGCCTGTAGACTGAAGGATCCAGGTTCGATTCCGGCCAAGGACACATGCCGGGGTTGCAGGCTCAATCCCCAGTGGGGGTGTGCAGGAGGCAGCCCATCAATGATTCTCTCTCATCATTGATGTTTCTATCTCTTTCTCCTTCTCCCTTCCTCTCTGAAACCAATAAAGAAATAGATTTTTTAAAAAAATTCTATCAAATTGGCCCAGTACTTATTAAGATTAAAACTACAAATTTTCATAAGGGTCATGCTGTTACCAGAGAAATCAGTGGGTCTCATTTCCCCAACACTAGTGGGAGTGGAGTTCCTCTTGTGATATCTTGAGAAAATGAATTTTCTAAGACTTGCACGGGAGAGTGAATGGTTTTTATTAGAGTGGAATTATATTTCTTGTGTGGCAAAGTCCCATTGCCCTTAACCCAGTCCTGAAAAAGGTGCAGCGGGGGTGCAGCAGAGCCACAGTCAGGGCCAGTGTCCAGAGTGTCTGTTCCGTGGTGGAATGGGGTCCGATGTACATTGGGCTAGATCCAGCTCATCAACCTATTGTGTGGGCGAATGCAGGGGAGTGTGCTCCCTGAAACAGGAATCAGCTGCGGGGGGGCGGGGGGGCTCCTTTGTTCAGGAGCTTAAATATCAAACCTTCCCTAAACTTTCAGTGGCCACGCCTTGTTCTAGCCACTGACTTGTTCTCAGGTGTGACTGACAGATAAGCAAGTCACCCAGACCTTACTGGGCATGTGTCTGCCTGTGTCCAGTCCCTTCCCACATCAATCGTGGGGATAGGCTGGGGTAATGTTGACTGAAGCTTTCTGGCAAAGCTGTATAAATGGCATACCTATGTTACCTAC